GGGGTTCGGACTTCCCGTTGATGATAAGCTCAGATCGCTAGATGTCAGTCGTTTCCTCTCAATTTTCTCCTCAAAAGCTAACAGAAGAGCTTCCCTTAAATCTGCATTCTGTGTGCTTGTGGTCGCTTTTGTAAGATTCAACGAGCCTTTGGCCATCTTTATGCGGTCTTTGATGCCGAGAAGTCTGCTCTCCTGAGTTCGAGGAACTTCTATGTTGAACGAGAACTGAGGACGTCGATCCGTTGGACGCTTTTTCTCGGGTACAGATGGGTTATTTCCCTCAGCCATAACGAATAAATTTCCCAATAAAAATATCTTTCGAGCAGCGACAGCAAGGCTATTCCCCAAACTGAACTAGAGTTGTGACTTTCTGTCTCAAAATCGCACTTACTTGCGAAATCATCCATACTTTAGTTGTTTTGTCACAGAATATTGTCACAAATAATAATTGTCTGAGCATTGCGCATAGAATGTTTCATGAATCCGCTAGTTTCAATGGGGATAATCTGAAGGCTCGGAGAACCAATGTGTATTAAGGGCTTGGGACATAAGCCGAAGTTACACGGCGCGAATTTTGAAAAGACAACTGTGGGAGTGTCTCGTCGACCGCAGATCGCGCTTTGAGCAGCCGAACGATAACTTAATGCCAATTAATATCATCAAAGTGCTCTGTGAGCAAACTCGTGAATTGACACATGATTTTTTGGAGTATGTTTAATGTTATTTGGTTTAGGGAATTTTGTGGTTGATTGTCATATCTAGAGTACGAGCAGTAGTTCAGTGTTCGCAGCAAAGAAACAAAGTAACGTTGGGATAAGAAGGCATTACAATTGAAATGATCATGCTATTACATTTGACAAGGGTGGATGATGTCATGTGTTTTAAACGTATATCATTTTTGTTTTTGGTTCAAATAGTCAAGGAGCCAGACCCAACAAAAACTGGTTTTGTTCAACCCACCTGACAGAAAAGGTTCGACAGCTGATTCTGATAGACCAATACCTACTCTTTAAGATAAGATACATCAGATCAGATCATTACCTCTAGGCACAGATACATTCCCCTCAGAGTTTGACTGTTAGCAGTATCATTTCCGATACAGATCCGAACAACGAACGAATAAATGAACGTTTTGATCGATGTTTTACAGTCTCGATTCAACAACTCTTTAGTATGCGACACAGATTGGTAAAGATATGATTATATGAGGTTGCGTTTATTCCAGCCTCGTTTCCATGTAAACAGTGATGGAAGAGACATCAGCCCTAATATTGTCTATTTTCTGGAGTTCTACGCATCCAAATGTTTTTTTTAAAGCATAATTCGAAAGTACATGATTTCTCTGTTGCCACATAAGATGAAAAGGCTGGATAAGACCTTTACCCTTTAGTCTCAGCAGGATTTGAAACATGTCAGGATCGACAAAGGAGACTGCTTTTTGACGAAAAAGTGGTCATGTGACACTCACGTGACATGCTGTCGTACCATGTGAACACTTAAATTGTAGGCAGGTGCATGATAATCATTTTTTCAGAGGGGTTTGGGGCACTTCAGTGGAAGAAGATGAAATTTGAGGTCAATTTCTGTCTGAGCCTCGTTTCCATGCTGAGTGCCATATCATGGTATTAAGCCCCATTTATCTCGTTAGCGGTACCACAATTCGGGACTACATAGTATCTTATCTTAAGGAGCAGTTATTGGTCTATCAGAATCAACTGTCAAACCTTTTCTGTCGGGTGGGTTGAACCAACTCGTTAAATGAGGCTTTTTCAGAAAATAGCTCCTTGACTAAAAAGAAAAGGTTGGAATTAAAGGTGGGTGAAAAGTGAAATTTACTGTCTATCATTGTAAATATTGGAAAATCAAGGCAATACTGTCTTAATGAAAACATTAACGATTCCCTCTTTATCAAATGAGACAAACGGGAACGAGTTTTGAGTGATATAACTAAGCCAAGACTGCCACCGTCATTTTGGATCTCCGCCTGTGTAGATTTTAGTCACGTGCTAGGCAACGTATAATCAATAACAAGATAGAATTTCATTTCAGGCCTATTTATCAATTTTGTGGTGTATAACTTTCGCATTTTAGTACGTAATATGTATTTTGAATCTTCAAATTGTCTTGAAATTTAAAAGAAAATTGTTCTTTTAAAATTCACTGAAAATCGGTAGCTAAAATTGTTTGTTTAGGTGTTATTTGATTTTCGTGTTAACTTGTAATTTCGTCAGTCGCCGGCATCTTTTGTTTCGCAGTAAGTGATATTTTCAATGCATCTTGGGATTTTTTTCAAGTTCAAGGGCTGTAAATTACAATTTTATGAAAAACGAAGGTTGTTCTGTTATTTCAGTGTGAATCCTTGCATGCCTGCAAGTCGCTGGCGCCGCTTGTTGAAACTAAAACGAAAAAAAAAAACTCTTTTAAGATTATCATTGACTTCTTTTTCACCCCACCACTATTCTTAGCAACAAAGGTCGTCATTTCGTTTGTTTGTTGCTCGCCAAAAACAATCAAATGCACTCAAAAGCCTAAAATCGAAAAAAAGTTTACAGGAATCGACCAATCGAGCGAGCGAGCGAGTGAGTGCCATTCCCCACATCGTATCTATAACTCGCTCTTACGCATGCGCGCAATTTCACGAGTTAAAAATGAGCTCAATTATGGGAATTAGAGTCAACAGGACGCAATGTCTTCTAATTTATTGACACAAAAAAACATTTAAAGTGTGTCTCTTATGCAGACCGTTTCACTCATGGTGGGACCGTTGGTCGCCATATTGGATGAGTTTTGCATTTGAGCTAAAACATAGGGAGGAGCCAACCTATTTATAGCGCGCCTTCGTGTTTAAGTCGTCTTGGATTATGTAAATATCGAATCAATTAGCATAACCACCAAGCGTAACCATGAAAACCACAAGAGAAGTCGATCCAACTATGTTGACGAGCAAAACGCGACTTTATTTCCATGATCACTGAATTTCCCTCAAGTAGTCTCGTTCCACTCTGCTTACAGCCATGTCTGTTGTCGAATACCGATTTATCCTGTATCAGTTTGGCGAGGAAATCGATTGGCAAACTCAACGAAGAAAGTTGATATTTATCCTTCGAGCTTTCCTGCCTGATTGCTCCGAAGAAGGTATCACTGACATTGATTCGTTACTTTCTATGCTGGAGGAGAAGAATATTCTTGGAATTGATCGCCTTAATGTGATGAAGGACTTGCTAAAGGGGATAAGAAAGTGGGACCTTCTTCGCAGAGTAGAGCGATTTGAAATGAAGAGAAAGGACTACAAACAGTTACTGGAGCAGATAAGTCGCGCACTCGACGAGTCCAATGAACTGCAACGACTCATTTCGATCTGTAGAGGAAAAAATCTGATAGCTCTTGAAAGAGAAGAAGATATCGCAGATGTCAATGCAATGTTCACAATACTAGAACAACAGAACAAATTGGGGATAGAAGACCTCACTCTCCTGAAAACCTTAGCAAACGAGATGGAGAAACCAGATTTGTGCACACTACTAGAGGAGTTTGAGAAGAAGAGAAAACAGGAAGAAGATGCGGAGCGGGAAAGGGAAGAGAGGGAGGACAATATACGAAAAGCAAGAGGTAAAGAACATTTCTAACTGAGAAAATTTTTCTGAGAAAATATCGAGAACTGTAAAATCAGAAACTAAGCTTGCGAAAATGCGATTTCGGACTATGTTGCTAATACGAATGGGTAGTCACTTTCACTTGCCTGTGTGGAAACCTTAAACCCTCGACCTTAAATGATCACTCTTCCAGTTGCCTAGGTATTGCTTCCCTGCTCCATTTTCCTACAAGGTTTTAGCTTGGCTTTAAGCTCACTGAGTGCAAAAATGTGCGAAATATTGCTATGTACTTCACTGTGATTTTATTGATGAGAGTACACCTGTTTATTTGCACTTTCTTGGAGGCATCGATAAAGTGCTGGTAAGACATGTTGAGCGAACAATATGGCGGGCGGATAAACACTAATTTCGGTTCCAGGGCCTCCTCTGTGTTCTTTTCAAAAACAGCGAGGCGGTGGCAAGAGTTAAAGAAGAAGTTTGCTCCAGACAGTACGTAATGTTTACATCCTCCGTGCAATTTGCTAGTTACCGTGGGATGAGACTGCAACGAATAAATAAGTACTTGAAATTTGTCTTCAGTTACGTTGAAAGCTCAAAACACCTTAGCAAACTGGTCATCCACGACACAACGTGCGCTTTATTAACAGCTACTGTAAAGTTATAGCAAAAGAATTGAGTCTAAAAAGACCTTTCTGTAGCTTTCATTTCTTGATACAGATCTCTAAGAGATGCAAGGAGTGAGGTTTTACCCCACTGCTGATCAGTTAACCATTTACACCCTAAAATCAGCTTATATATTCTCCATTCTGTTTTTTATACATTTGCTATGGCACTGGCAAGGGGAATTAAGTTTAAAACCAAGAGCTTATCGAGTTTACGATTAATTTCTTGAGTTGTGGGCAAAATGTTTGATTCAGTGGTGTCACCTTAGTTGGAAATTAGATACAAGTTACCCTCAGGGGTTAAAGAGTTAATATACCAGTGATACAATGGCCCTGCTAACCGTAAATTTAAGCCAGATACATGAAAAGTCTGCGAAGAGAAGTATTTCACACAGATCAATGCTCAATATTTTCCTGATTAAACTATATTATATTTATTAATCCAAAGATTGATTTATTTCACATTCCAGCTCAGGCCACTTCTGTTCTTTCTGGTGGAATAAACATTGGCGAAAGATTAATAGGAGGTGAGACAGTGTTAATTAATCTTGCTGAGAAGTAGAGCCAAATTATGTGGAACCTAAAACCTTAAACAGTAAAGCCCGCAAACACAATGCTTTTAAGAGGCTCACGCTACTAGAGTCTTTAAGTGGTGATTACATACTCAAAACTAATATTGTCACCCTTACCAGAAAGCAACGAAGAGAACCAATATATAAATTTGCTCCATATCCACTAAATAAACATGAAAATTGCTGAGTCTGGACTATATTTGTCAAAGTGTTATAATCGAAAAAGAACACCATATGTTTTTTGTCCATCCACGTCTCTTTATTGATAAGTTTCCTTGTCGTCTCTCTCAGTAAGGTATAACTTTCTAAAATAGCAATCCACTCAAATGTAATCTTAGCTAGACTCTCAGTTGCTGGAGATAAGCAAAGAATCGGGAAAGCGAATTAAGCGAGGAGTCTGTGAAAGAGTGCTCTCCTCAGCCAACTCTCCCCCAACGTTTGTTACTTTGCCTAGCCCCGCTTTTTCGGTCGACTCCACAAATGGCTAATGTAAACCCTTTGATTTCTACACTTTTTGCAGTTGTCACACCTCACTGTACTTTTCGCAATGCTGCTGGTGGTGCTGTGGTCGTCACTACGTGGATGGTCCTTCGCAGGAGTCCAAGTATGGAAGAATTTGTCAATGCTTTCAAAGAAGCTGTTCTTCCACTTGGAAACTGCTTGCGTGCAATTAGTGAGGGATCGATCCGATTTACGCTTCAAGCAGAAAATATTTCCGCTCTCGAGGCATTGTGGCAAAGATACCAGAACGAAACTCTACAGACAGAAATGCAGAACTTTCTTGTTACTGAGGAAATAAAGCAGCTGGCAGGTGGTGAGGTGACGTTGGCTGTACACATCGACGAGGAAGAATACAGAAATGCCATGTGTGATTTTATAAGATCAGGAACAGAAGGTATATGGACTTAAAAAGTTTTGCAATTATCATTTCTCACGTTAGATAAATCAGAGAGTTAATTCGCATGTTGTATTTAAGGGAGAAAGTTGTTCCAGAAACCATGTTTTTTTAATTGTTTTTTAGGGACTTTCGAAAATAAAACTCGTGTTAAGGTTCTGAGATTTCACAGAGCAATCGATTGCAATCTGAAGTCAATTTGAAGCACCGAGCTCAGTGTAGAGTGCGCTGAAATGAAAAACATATTACATAGCACCATCGTTTTCTCAATGGGTTAACTCATTCATGGGCGTTGTTTCCTTAAAACACACTTTTAGAGAGGAGCGGCAGAGAACAGAGAGGATTAAAAGATCGAGCAAGTTCTGAATCAGACCTCTCGAGAATGCAAGGACTGGTTTCAGAGGATGGAAAGGATTTTGCTCAGGTTAGGAAGTTTATGTCATATGCGGAAAAAATCCGAGTCGAAGAATTCTTGGAAAATCGTCAAGAGACTAACAGCACAATTACGCGCACGTCTGATAGTGGAGTAGGTACTTGGAGTCCTGCTCCCACTGAATGCCGATCCGAAGAAGGCGCTGAAGGTAATATTAGATCTCGTATGCATGGGTATATATCAGAAATTGTGTAAAAGGTTGTTCTTTTTTGTTTTCACGTTTAGAAGCTGGTGTCGCTGATACGGCTGGTACGTGAGACACTAGATATATACACATCGAAAGAGTTGCTTCCCCTCTAGGAATATGTTCCTGCTTGTTGATTTGGTTGATTGGCCATTTTAAAAACATTCCTTTGCATGAGACTTCCCTCAATTCCGCAATTCACTCGACAACACTCACTCAACCTCGAGAGATATATCATCGGGGGACATATCCTCGCAACGCTCATTTACAAGTTATTTCCTTGCAAGTGTGACATTTTTACACGACTTTTGACGTCCATCACTCTTCACCTATGATTTGGGAGAATTTTAATTCCAGCGAGGCTTATTTGACGTTATGATATATTTCTTATCAAGGAATGGAATCTTAACATGAATTAAGGTTTCTAAAGTACGTACGGTAGGAGACTTCCGTCTTTTTCTTCCGTCTTGAAGGTACAAGAGAGCTATTCTTTTACCAACGAGCATGTTGACGGCTGTCTCTGATGTGAACTTCGGTCTCGATTTAAAAAAGTTACCCATTGAACATTACTTTCGAGGGGGCCAGCTGACAGGAATTCTTGCATTCGTTTTCCAGATATGTTATAGAACCTCTTGGCCCTGGGGAAAACTTCGGTCTTGTAAATACACGTTATTTAGGGAGAAATATCTTATTCACTTGAGTAGAAACCGCCCTAGAATAAATACCGCTTCTAATCAGAAAATGTAACGTTTTTTCGATGATTATTTGAAAAATATCTTTAGGGAAGTAATTCTCCTTAAAGTTTTTAAAACTCCTGTAAAACGTTTTCATGTTGTGAATGACAAGTTGATTCGATCGAAAGAAGCTTGCAAAAATTGGCGCAAACTTCTTTTTATAATACAAATTTAGGAAAATCTCCAATATCGACAGGTTTAGAGTCGGTGTTGACGCTTTGATATGCATTCCTCCTTACATTGTTTGCGTAACTCACTACTGTATCAGTCTGGCCTGAGTGCCAATTAATATAATTCCCTCTTTGTCTGACTCAAAAAAATACACCTACACTCACCTAAATCAAGGTACATGTTATGTCAAAGTGATCGCTTAATTGTCAGTGATCGTAAGTTTAACCATAATAGCCAGGTTATTAAGCATGATCGGCATTGAATGAACTGATAAAGGTGTTAGCGTTGAGGAGTGAGTTTCAGACTTAGGACCAATAAATCCCGCCAACCAAATATAATCTCCCCTTAGAGTGTTCCTTGGGACCCCTTGTCATATGTTCACACACTATATTCAAACAGCATCATTAAATGGAAATATTTTTATCCGCAGGAAGCAGAAAAGAAAAATTCGACCACGTCGAAGAATGGGTAACAGATGCCATTGAAAATTTGGATAATGTTTTGTCAGAACTTAAAACAACAACTCAATCTGAAGGTCTTTTATGCGTTATTGACTGTTTGATTGAATAATTAAGGTGAGAGGACTTCGTTTCGTCGAATTCGGTCTTTAATCATAATCTTGATTACAAAATCGGACGATTGCAAGGCGAGAGTTCAATTTGTCAATCACGAATGTGATTACCGACTGAATTGGACGAAACGAAGTCCTGTTACCAATTAATCATGACCGTTACAATTTCCTAAAAAAGAGACGTACATTTATTTCAGAAAATATTTTAAGAGACGTTGTCTTAAGTAACAAATTCCTCCGTTTTTAAAAATTACCCAGTTTTTTAGGGTAAGTTGTTTTTGCTAAGGTTATTGTAATCAATTCCGTGACTGATGGATTAACCTGAGTGGACTTCGTACGATTTGCTGCTTGTCCTGTTCGATGACTGGTGTCCGATTAAAGCCAACTTTCCGATTACTCAATCTAATTCCAGCTATACGGAATAAGTAGTGAAAGACAAAGCAGTTAATGCGCCGATCACATCTGAGGAAATTTTGATGTAAATTTTAATTGCGTAAAGTTGGTATTAGAATATGTAACATGATTACAATCGGTTTGGACAAAACGAAAGACTAAAGATTTAGATGAAAACTCGAACCGGTACCTTTGCGAGCTGGTACAAATTGGTGTGTACTTGGGTATTTTTAGTTGCAGTTTTGTTTTACTATCTGATAGCTGATGGACTTGATGGTTATAAAAGGGTTCTGGAACAAAGTATCGGTCTTAAATGTCAGTTTGAGCGTAGTGAAGTATGTTAAAAACCTGCAGATAAGATTTCATTTTTAAAATGAAATTTGAACAATATTTTATTCATAGTTATCTTGAGAGTCAGTGTCAAACAAGCAAAGCAAGAATTGGAAAAAAGCAGAGAAAAGATTCATAACTGGAACGAATCAGGATATGAGATTCCTGTCGCAGGTCAGTGCAGTAGAAAAATAAATAAACACCTGCAGCGTTCTCTATTGAGATAAATTTTATGGCTAGAAGTTAAATAAATTGGATCAATATCCGATCAACAGCAGTCAATTGACAACGAGTTAAGGTTAATGTTGGGTTAGGGGAGGGGTAGGCGGGCAGTTGCCCAGATACTGATATTGATCCAATTAATCAATCATAAATTTGATTGGGCGATTTACCAGAACATTTCGCTGATCTGAAACTTTTTCAGAATTTGGAGACTTAGAGATTTAGATTTCCCAGCATTAATAAGCCGTGTCCTCTTTTGGTTGTCGTTCAGTCACGCTTTTGTGCCTCCGATTGATTTAAACTTGAAAACGGCTTTAAGGTATGGCAGACACTATTGGACACCCTTATAATAAGCGCTGTCGTATTCATGACACTTCTTTCTCTGCAAATAAGACTCAAAGCAAACGATAACTCTCCTCAAAAGTACAGTGAGTTAATTTTATTTTCACTCATTCTCTTCCCTAGACAGTAAAATGGCATTAGTTTTCGGTGAGGTTGAAGAATACATCTTTTCACCGGAACTCAGTGCTGAAGGTGTTTTACAAAAAGTCAAAACCATTCTTCAGATAAATCAAGATATGTTTGAACACCCAAACGAAGATGTTAAGAAGTTGATCCGTCTCGTGGCAAAAACAGCAAAAAATTTGAACAGGATTGACGTGTTCGATCATTTAAGAGAATATGCACCACCAGGAACAACAGGTTAGTCTCAATTTGGCAAAAAAAGTTATTTCGTCTTTGTTCCCCATAAACTAGCAGCCTTCAAATATGATTATTTGGTGATGAAAAATTCATAGTGCTCTGTAAATTAATAGTTTTAGGGAACGTTAATCACAAGACGAGTGAGAGCACAAGGAGTCACCCACTAACTGTAATCATGGCATGCTCTTCACTAAATTTCTTGCAACTTTTCGATCAAATAATAAAAGTAACTATCAATTGGACCTTTTGTATAATCCATTATAGCGAAAATCAGTTTTACTTCGTGGTACATTGCGCAACCTCACCCAGCGTATTTTAAAACGTGATTAGACGTTCACACTAAGAAATGGAAAATTTTCAATAGATACCAGGGGCTCGCCAGAAAAGTCTGTTATTTACCTGCAAACGAGTACGGTGACCTCTTATTTTTTGTTTTAAGGTTCGAGCTGAGCAAGGAATTTTTTTTCCCTGTAAAATGGATAAGGCCGACTAAAAATTTGAAAAGTAAAACCATTCGCAGGGGAAGTGTTCACAGCAAGCTCTTCTGAGTATCATAATGAGGCTATCATAAAGGGATGACTTCGTATAATCAAGTTCTGCTACTCCCATAAGAGTAAAGAGAACCTAGTTTTCAAAATTTAAGGGAAAGTTATGCTTCTAATTCGTAAACTTCTTTATCCGCCGATAAAAAGCACATATAAAGGTAAGCAATCTACCTCGTTATGAAAATTCAAAAAAGGGTGACAGTTTAACTGACAAGCCCTGAATTCATTTTGAGACTTCTTTTTTTATGAAATCAAATTTTTAATGAATTTGTTTATTTACTCATGTACCACGAGAGATAATTTATTACAAGGGAGCTATTCCTAAACAACACATTTTTAGGTCCTCGATTATCTGACGATTCGACTTTTGCCGACATCCCTCTCCAAACAGCCAGAAAACTAACAATGGCATCGTCAGGTGAATGCTGATATGTATCTAGAATCTATCTCATACATTTCTTTAAAATTTCGTTAATTTTTCCAAGTTGCGTTTCATTTCTCTGAGTAAGTGGTGACGATCAATTGAACATTCTCAGGCGATTTTTTGCAATCTTTTCCTGTGTTAAAGGAGAGTTTGAAGAAATACTACTGTTTGGTGCTGGAAAAAGATATATAAGTATATGTTGATCTATTCAAAGAGAATTAGCTTAAGATGAAGAGATTATAATCAGTTAATAATCTCTTGCTTAAGAAAGGCAAAAAAAAACTTGACTTATTCGCGAGTTAGATTATAAACAACGAACAAGACTTTTGAGGGTGGCTGCAATCCTGTGATCCAGACATAACCGCTTCAACCGAGGCAAGACAGCAAAAATTTCAAACAAAGCTAAGAAAGAATAGAAAATGTGTCTATCGTACCCGATTTATAAGTACTTTTGGCCAAAGAATTCAAGACCGTCTTAAAGGCTGTCTGAGAAAGAACAGCTTTTTGCCTAAGGACAACTTAAAGTCATTTTCTAAATGTTCTTTAGCCATCCAGCGTCTCTAAATTTAACCTCAAAGAATTTGTTCCATGAACTTGGGCCGTGCAACGATGAGGCGAAAGTTTTTAAGTTGATCTCCCAAAATATAGCCAGGGTTTTGACCATGTATTTTATTAAAGGTATCGGGGACCTGCTTCATGAAGGCAAGACAGGATTTGTGAGGGTTTAAGAATTTATTCTACTCTAGTTTGACTTTCTAAACTGATGTTAAAAAGTCAGTGTCGCGCTCGCGCTATGTTCGGCGTGTCAAATGACTGTACGCAGGAAATGTTCGTTCTGACATCAACAAGTGCAGTTACCGGTAAGCCTAGCGTCCATCATACAAAAACTGTGTTTTTTATGCTCTTTTGACACACTTTT